AAATTCAATGTCATGGTTTTTATCAGTATTTTCTAAAGATTCAGGGTCAATGTTTGTGTTAGGATGGTGGTCATGTTCCTCAACAGTGGGTTTAATACTTTGTGATGGAACAGGTATGATAGGATCGTGTTGTGGCGAGTCAATAGGATCTTTGTAAGGGTGATAGTCCCAATTAATAGAATTGGCATTTGAATAAGGAAAAATGTGCTCATGATGTATGACATTTCTAGAAACAAGAATAGTATGACTGTTAATATCATAGAGCACCACACCCTTCATACCATTCTTGTATCCTAAGAAAACGCATTTTCGGCCTCTTGGCTCAAGTTTTTTTCTATGCACATTTAGTGTGGATGTAAAAGCTAGAGATCCAAACACTTTAAGACTATGCATATCTGGATGTGCATTATGCATTATGAAATGAGGAGAAAGATTGTTTAAAACTTGTGTAGGTAGTTTATTTATAATGAATGTTGCATGTAAAATGACATATGACCAGAATTTCTTTGGAAGTTTTGACTGAAAAAGAAGAGCTCTTCCAACATTTAGTAAATGTTGATGTTTCCTTTCCACTCTACCATTTTGTTGTGGAGATTCAATACAACTTGTTTGATGAATGATTCCCTTAGATGCATAAAATTTAGGGATTCTGAATTCAGGACCATTATCAGTTCTGATAGTTTTGGCAAGCAGCTTATGTTGATTTTCTATGAGGCTAATAAAATTTATAACATGCTGTCTAGCTTCAGATTTAGCTTTCATTAAAGTTATCCATGTGTATCTGTTACAGTCATCAACAACAGTTAAGAAATATGAATGACCATGTAAAGATTGAACTGCAAGAGGTCCCCAAATGTCAAAATGGACCAGGTCATAAGAGCGAGCAGCTCTATTATTACTAACAGTATAAGAAAGCTTTCTTTGTCTAACATAACAACATACATCACAAACATCTTTATGATTTACTGTGATAAAGGGAAATTGAGAGTGTAAGTACATAAGTCTGTTTTGAGATAAGTGTCCTAATCTATAATGCCATAAGGCTCTATCTGGTAAAGTGACATTGGCTTTTAGAGCAGAGGTTAAAGCAGGTGTGTGTGTGTGTGTGTGTGTGTGTGTGTAGTAGGTGAATCATTATCTCTTAGTGTTAAGTAGTACAATCCATCTTTTTGCTTAACAGAATCAGTCATCTTCAAGGTAATTTTGTCTTGTATAACACATTGTGAATTAAGGAATTTGACATTGCAATTAGAGGATTCACACAATTTTGAAACAGGTAATAGGTTTAAAGAAAATTCAGGAATTAAAAGAACATTATGCACAATGAAGTCTGAGGAAAAATGGATTGTGCAAGAATATTTAGCAATAAGGCATTGTCCATTTGGCAATCTAACATTGATGGGAATAATCTTCTTATATGAATGGAACCATTTGACAGAACTGCATATGTGATTTGAAGCTCCTGAATCAATGATCCAAGAACCACTACTACTACTATGCATGCAATGATATGTGTTACTTGTTGATGAATGACCAACAACAACTTGGTTGCAAGAAGCATGTCCTGAAGATTGACCAATGCTTGATTTATGAATTAGCTCCATTAAAGCAATGAATTGACCTCGAGTCATAGCTGAATTGTCACTTTTAATGTCAACACCATTAGGGGAAGATCCATCATCATTGCCATCTGATGCCACATTGTTAGTTGAATTCTGAAATTGCTTCTGCATATGGGTGGTACACCATGTTTCTTGAAGCAATTTTCAACAGTGTGATTAGTCTTGCCAAAGAAAGTGCAGACACGAGCTCCATGCTCGAATGTATTGTTTCTTGCACCAAACCTCTTGGAATCAGCAGCATTAATCAGTGTTTGAGACTCATCATTAGGAATAGGGAGCTGAATTTGTTGCTCATGTTGAATAACCATGGAGAATATCTTGTTCATATTGGGCAAAGGATCCATTAACAAGATTTGAGACTTAACTACAACAAATTGGTCATTCAAACTAGTCAAGAATCTGATAATTTGCATCAGTTGGTGATTAGATCTTGCATTGCGCATAACTTCACAAGAACACTTTATGCGACATGTACAAGTGGGTAAAGGTAAATACAAATCTAATTCTTCCCAAAGAATTTTAAGAGCAGAGAAAAAATCAGTTACCGATTTGGTTTCTTGCTTGAGATTATATATTTCTTGTTGCAGCTCAGAAATACGAATGAGATCACCCTGAGAAAACCTTTCTTTCAAATTGTTCCATACATCAAGCGCATTCTCCATGAAGACTATAGACTGAGAAATTGAATCTGAAACTGAACTCATGATCCAAGAATGTACAAGCATGTTGCAGCGATTCCAAGCACGCAAAGATGGGTCGAAAGAATCAGCAGGAACAGGGAGAGATCCATCAATGAACTCAATTTTCATTTTGCCACCAAGAGCCCTCTTCATGCTTCGAGCCCATGAATGATAGTTGGAACCAGTGAGTTTTGGAAGAACTGTAACATAACCCGAGCCATCACTGGGGTGAACAAAATAAGGTGAAGTTTGATCCAAAGTTGGATCAAGTGGTGGAGTTCGAGGAGGAGCCATGGATGCAGAAAGGAGAAAAAAGGAAGGATTCAATTGGATAGCAGCGAAATGAGGATCAATTTGGCGAATGATACCATATTGTGATGAAGCTATTCTACCATTGAAGAAAGGATAACAAAATGGAAAGAAGAAAGAAAACTTCAAGAAAAGTAAAATATAACTTCATTGATTCTACATGTGTGATAGTACAAGCCTTATATAATACACTCATATCACATAACAGTCAATCAAAAGGAATCTAACTAACCAATAACCACCTAACTAATAATAGCCTTATCAACTTGATCAACTAATCTAATTCAATGATTAAAGTAGCTAATCTTAACACCAACAAATATAATGTTTAATTTCGGGCAAGTTTCTCCATATGATGCACAAATAAATCTTTGTCGTTTGCTGTCATATTACTTGAATATAATAAAAAGCTAATCAATCTCTAACATAAAAGCTAATTATCTTACGTGGCATATTAAGATCAGGATAAGATCCTCTCCATTTTTTTCCCTCCATTTTCTCCATTATTATAGTTTTTATGTATATAAAATCAACTAAATATTAATTATATGTCACATATCTTATAAATGTGTGTTATTTACACACAAAACTATAATAATAAAGAAAATGGAGGGATAAAAAAATGGAAATGATATTATTCCATTAAGATCAATCATTTTCACATGCTATTAAGTTCAATAATAATTTTTTAAATATAATTCGAAAATAATTAATCTCTAACATAAAAGCTAATCATTTTCACGTGCCATATATGTATAGATGATTAATTGGTTTCATTATTTGATAGGTATGAATAGAAAGAGATCCAAAAAATTCAGGCTGCTACATTGGTAGTGTGAAGTTAGTTAAAAATTGGAATCATTATCACATTATTGTTCCACAGAAAAAGAAAAAGTTTATAAATTAGTTGATAATTTAGTAGCTTATAAATTAATATAAAATATAATTTAATTAATATTAAAAAAATTTATTTAAAATAATAGAAATAAAATTGAGATAAAAGTAATCAATCGTAAATTATTGGAATAAGTTTACTAAAATAAACTATAAATTCATTAAAAAAAATTAAAGATTACCAAAATAGATAACTACCATCAACAATAACACTTAAACAATATTGATGATCCAAACACTTAAACAATAACAATTAGAAATTCCTGTTGTCATAAACTTAAAGCAAGTAGAATGTTGTGATATATCTAGGATTGTCATAAACTTAAAGCAAGGAAATGAATCACTCTACTATATAACTCTTCATATAAATAAAGAAATGGACATGCATGGGTTGATTCTCAAAATGGTTAAAGATCTTTGGTTGATTTGATGTCACATAAGGTAATAATGATGAAAATTTTGAGACGATAACTTTGATATTGTTACATAAAATGTGTCATCCATTTAATATCCAACTGTTAATGTTTACTGTGTGTTAATATTCCAATTCAATTTAAGTTTCTTATGATAGAGTTATTACACGGTGGTAACTGATAATGACCTTACAGTTACAAATGACCTTATAGTTTACAATACATTGTTAGAGTGTATTATACAATTTTAAATTATTCCTAATGCTGGTATCTTTGTAACAATTTTAAATTATTCATTCCAGGTAAATTATCACACATAAAACCTGCATCAATACCAGTTTCACTTGGCAGTCATAGAACATGTAAATTTGCTGTTAATTATGAGTGTATTATTTACTATGATACTATATTTCATTTTTATTTATTTAAATAGGTTATTCAGATACCGGTGATTTTGCCATTAAATGCACATAATATAGGGCACTTATGTGGTATCAAGAGAAGACTGAAAAACGAAAACATAGTGCAGTTCCGAAGTTTCAATTATGTTGTTGAAACGATAAAGTTGTGTTGCCACTTTTGAAACCACCACCACTATTACTCAAGCATATATTGTTTTATACCAATGATATAGAGTGTCGAAATTATCAGCAGTATTGCAGATTATACAACATTATGTTTGTCTTTACGTCTCCTGGAATGAAGTTTGACAATAGATTCCAAACGAGAAAGAGGACCACCTAGCATACAAATACATGGATAGTCTTGCCATATAATTGGGAGCATGATTCCTTTGCCTGAACAATCACCAAAATTTGTTCAGCTATATATTTATGACACTGACTAAGATTCAATATAGAATTAAAGGAATAAGATAATTATTCAGATCTTACAAAGCCTTATGACCTTATTTTTTGTAAATATTTTGGGTGCTCATATTACCACATGTACGTTTTTTCAATCAAGTGCATACTAACTGTTTTATTATATAATGCAGTAACAATCCAAATATAATTCCAGAAACTGTTAGCAGATTGAAACTTATGCTGGATGAGTTCAACACACACGCTAAATCTTTTAGAATGGTAGCAGATAGACTGCTGGATTGTCCTGTTCCTGATCTCAAACGGAAGTTAATAGCTGATAGATCAAAAGATGGAAGAATTTACAATCAACCGACTGTTTCTGAGGTTGCTGCACTTATTGTTGGGGATGTTGATACAGGTTCTAAAAGGGATATTATTCTTGAGAGACGTAGCGGAAGGCTTAAAAGAATAAGTGAGTTTCATCCAAGTTATTTTGTGTTACAATATCCACTTTTGTTTCCATATGGGGAAGATGGTTTTAGACTTTGTGTGCTACACAAAGAAATAAATGCAAAGAAAAAGTTTAAGAAAAATAAGCTTACCATTAGAGAATGACTTACTTTTAGAATTCAAAACCGACATACCGAAGCACATACACTTTTGAGGTCAAAGAGGTTGTTTCAACAATTTTTGGTTGATGGATTTACTATGATGGAGTCCGAAAGATTGAATATATCCGCAAGCATCAGAAAAAACATAGAGTTTCTAAGTACTGCAATTTGACTGGTCTTGAACAATAATCAAGCACTCAAGAAGCAAACAAAGTTAAAAGAGAGGTTTTACCTTCAACTTATGTTGGAAGTCGGAGATACATGGAATAACTATATTTTGACGGGATGGCATTTGTAGCCATATTGGATTTTCGGACCTTTTTATCACATTTACTTGAAATTCAAATTGGCCTGAAGTTCAAAGGTTACTTAAAGAAATTCATTTGCAACCTCATGATCGTCCGATATCATCTCAAGAGTGTTTAAAATTAAGTTAGATGAGTTGTTGTGTGATCTAACAAAAAATCATGTCTTAGGGAGAGTTGTTGCATGTAAGTTATATTAACTAAATTTGACTCAAGTTCTTATTCTGTTTATTTAACTATTTCCAATCTTTTATATTAATATCACTTATTTCAAATATATACACAGTTGAGTTCCAAAACCGAGGTTTACCACATGCACATATTCTGCTATTCATGTATCCGTCGAGCAAGTATCCCACTCCAGATGACATAAAAATATCATTTCAGTAGAGATACCATCCGAAGAAGATCATAGGCAATTGTATCATTTGATCAAGACACATATGATTCATGGGCCATGTGGTGTAGCAAATAGGTCTTCACCTTGCATGAAAAATGGGAAGTGCTCTAAATTCTTTCCTAAAATATATCAGCCTCAAACCATAGTTGACCAGGAAGGTTATCCTTTGTACAAAAGAAGGGAAAATGGAAATACAGTGATGAAGAAGAACATTGTTCTCAATAAAAAATATGTCGTTCCTTATAATCCATATTTGTTGAAGAAATTTCAGGCTCACATCAATATGGAGTGGTGTAATCAAAGTACTTCAGTTAAGTACTTACTCAAGTATATTAACAAGGGGTATGATAGAATTACTGCATCTGTTGTCGAAACTGACGCGGACGAAACTTCTCTTATTAGAAATGTCGATGAAATCAAGCGATATCTTGATTGTAAATATGTATCTCCAAGTGAAGCATGTTGGAGGATCTTTTCATTTCCTATTCATGGGAGATGTCCTGCAGTTAAAAGGTTATATTTTCATCTTGAGGGAGATAACTCGGTTTACTATACTGATTATGAACTGGTAGATGAAGTGCTTGAGAAACCAAGTGTGAAAGAATCAATGTTTGCCACTTGGATGGAAGCAAACAAGACATATGCAAAGGAAAGAAATTTGGCATACTCTAATTTTCTTACCAAATTTGTTTATGATAAAAGATACCGACGCCGAAAACCACATAAAAGAGGCCATACCATTGGAAGACTAATTTGGATTTCTCCAAGTACCAGTGAGTTGTATTACCTAAAAATGATGTTGACAACTATCAAAGGACCAACATGCTATGAGTATATAAAAAATGTGGGTGGAATAGTTTCAAATATTTTTAGGGATGCATGTTTCGAAATGGGATTTCTTAATGATGATAAGGAATATGTTGCAGTCATAAATGAGGCCAAGGATTGGGGTTTCATAAATTTTTTAAGAAAGTTATTTGTCAATATGCTATATCTGGTACAATTAACAGACCACAACATGTTTGGGAGAAAACTTGACGGACGTTATCTAACAGTATTCTTTATCAACAAAGACAAGTGACAAATAGAAAAGGTACATTCCATTGATTTAATCTTTTTAAGTACATGAATATAAATTTTAATTGTTGACCAATTAGTGTTGCTATTAAACTTATATACCACCTTGATAATCCATACAACATCATGATATGTTTATGTACCATATCATTTCTGCCCGCTGCATATAATTGTTTGGTGTAATAAAAACTCCATCTATATGTATGTAGTAAGAACATCACATGAAGCAGTTTTCATTCTGCCGTAGTTAACAATAATATACTATGCTGATGTTGTACTTATATTTGATCTTGTTGTATACATTGCTAATTTGTACAACATTGATTTATTATGATGTTGTTGCCGTGTATACAATAAAAGTTAAATTTATGCTGCAGTATAATATTCATACAGCTGCAACATTACCAAACGTTGCCTGGAAGCACATGTTATATGTATTTCATGTATCTATATGTAGTGATAATGATGAGTTCTACTGTTGTGAAATTAAATTAACGTCGCTATATAAAATTCATGGTAATGCAACATCATCAAACAAATCATCACTGAATCTAACCATTCGACTTTGCCGTTTAATTCACTAATTTGTACATTATTGTAAACTACCTGATATATGAAGTATTAATTTCTATATTTTTTTATAGATATGCAGTTGACAAACAATGAGTTGAAAAATTTGACACTCATTGAGATTGAGAATATGATGCAATTCAATTGAAGAAGTTTGCATGAATTTAAAAATATGTCTTATCCAGATTCATATGCCACACGACACGTTGGCAATAGACTGATTTATGACGAACATGATTATAACACCGATACTGAACGATAAAATTTTGATAATCTCTTTCGCGCCCTTATATGTCATTATTTTCTTTGTATTATGAATTTGTGACATATCATTGTTTTTTTTAATTCAGAGACTAATAAATGTTTACATTATAATTGATAGATGAACAACGTTCAATCTTTGAAAAATAATCATGGAAGTTGTCAACAAACAAAGAGGAAGGGTGTTTTTTTTACATGGTTATGGAGGGACCGGTAAACTTTCATGTGGAAAACACTATTAAGTGCACTTCGTTCGAGAAAAAAATTGTTCTTACTGTTGCTTCAAGTGGCATAACTTCGTTATTATTTCCGGATAGAAGAACTGCCCATTCAAAGTTCAAAATCCTCGTGCCAACACATGTCAATTCTACTTGCAATATTGACAAAGACACCGAACATTCATAGTTATTTGAAGCAACCGATGTGATAATTTGGAATGAAGCACCTATGTCTCATAAAAACTTATTTGAGGCATTGAATAAAACCCTTAAATATGTCATGAGTAAAATGGGTCTTGCGAATACAATATTTAGTGAGAAAGTTGTTGTTTTTGGAGGAGATTTCAGACAGATTCTTCCGGTTGTTCCAAGAACAGGGCGTTCTGATATTGTTCATGCATCAATATGCTCATCTTATGTGTGAGACTATTGGCAGGTTCTAACACTAACAAAAAGTATGAGACTTCAGCAAGAAAGAGATAATACAAGTTCTAATGAACTAGCAGAATTCTCAAAATGGATCTTAAATGTTAGGGATGATAAGATATCTGAACCAAATGATGAATTGGTTGACATAGAAATTCCTCAAGAACTATTAATATCCAATTTTGATGAACATATAAAAGTTATTGTTGAAAGTACATATCCAAGTTTATTGGAAAGTTTCCAAGATGTTGTATATTTACAAGGAAAATAAATTTTTGCCTCAACCATTGAAGTTGTGGACAAAATCAATCATTATGTATTGAACCTAATACCAGGTAAAAATCGTCATCTTTATTCTCTATATACATACACAAAATGATGTATCATGTTGAATTAACTAACTAATGTATTAATATTTTCATTTTATTGCAATTTTTAGGAAAAGAGAAAGAGTATTTGAGTTTTGATTCAATTGATACAAGTTATACTGAAGCGTATGAAGTTATAACTCCATAATTTCTTAGTAAACTAAGAACATCAGGGCTATCAAATCATAAGATCAAATTGAAAGTTGGTACCCCCATTATGCTAATGAGAAATATGGACCAAACTGATGGATTGTGTAATGAAACAAGATTAATTGTTACAAGGTTAGTAAATCACGTCATTGAGGACAAAATTATGTCCGGAAAGAATATAGCTAGCATTTTTTTATATTCCTCGGATGTCTATGTCACCTTTTGAGTTACCATGGCCATTTAAGTTGATTAGGAGACAACTTCTGATCATTATCTCTTACACAATGACAAGTAATAAATACCAATGTCAGTCACTTGATCGTGTCATATTGTATTTGCCTAGTCTTGTTTTTAGTTATGGACAATTGTATGTGACAATTTCAAGAATTACAACCAAAAGTGGTCTTAAAATCTCAATACATAACAAAGACAATGCACTTTGTTCGACCACTACTAATGTTGTATACAAGGAGGTTTTCCAAACATTTTGTTAGTTGGTAATGTTTTTCGACTTTTCTTTTATGATCTAAATTAAATATCCAAAATTTATTTATATGTGATGATGCCACATATTTTATTTAGTCTTTTTAAAATAATTTTTTTGAATAATTAATATTTTATTTGATACATTTCTCCATGCAGTTATATGATGTGGGTTGTTGTTATTAGTTGGTTCCTTCATTAATGAAGTTCAATTATGAAATTGGTAGCATGAAGATGTTTATATGTGATTTGCCAAGCTGAAATAATGTATCAATGTATTATTAGTGGAGTCATGTTAAATGTGTTGTTTAATATACTATTTGGTTAAATACAAATTGATTTTTTTGTTGATTTACATTGACTTATCTTTGATATATATAAAAGAACACGAGTTTCTTACTAGTATGATTAGTAACACTAATACCTACTACTCATTAACAAGTGACTTATCCATTAAAAGTAAGGAAACAAAATTGATGTAAGAAACCTAATAAATCACATTAGTGGGTTGATAGGAACCCATGTTAGTTTCAAGAAGTAGTATAATTTATTTTTGGAAGACCCAGACTCAACTAGAGATAGAAATGTATAATTAATTATGAGTGATTTTGAAATATTTGTTTTATCAAAAGTATAATGGATTTTATCTTTAGAATTGATTCTACTTGAAGTTAGAATTTGTAATTTCTACCTCCAGAATTGATTCTACTTGAATTTAGAATTTGTAACTTCTACCTCTATAATTGATTATGAGTAATTTTTACACTAAAATTTATACTATAAAATTAATTCTACCAACATCAATTATACTATAATCAATTCTCTTTTCACCGGCAATTCAAACACACCTGTACTAATTATAAGTTGCTATCGAAGAAGCTTGAGAGGAATCTTGTTTTTCATTAGATGATTGAGTATAATATAACCAACATTGTTGTTGTTAGATGGTTTAGTAACTTTTATAGGAATAACCAAAGGGTAGGCATGTTTAATGGACCACGTTTTCACGTTATGATTGGTCTTCCAATAAGGAGTGCAAATTCTATTAGAAAGTTGACCAAAACCAGTGCTAGAATTGGACTGTCCTCTACCATATTTATCAAAAGAATTATCCCCTTTTCCTCTCTCAAAATGATTAGAACGTTGAATTTGCATGGTCAATGATTGATTTTCAAGAGAGATGCCAATATTATTTTGATTAAATGATTTTCACATATCTTCGACTATAAAAAAAGACAATTATTTAATCAAAATAACATGTTGAACAAAGGTACCATAAAAAAATTAGTTTATTTGTAACAATGTTTTAAAAAAAAAAAAAGTTTAGAAAAATCTAAAAATTAACACCATATAAAAGACATCAAATACACCGTAATTAGACTGTATAAATACGCCTACATTGCTAAAATACGTAAAAGGTGAAGATAAGATAGCCTTTCATTTTTTTGGGTTTTTAAATTCATTGCATCAAATACAAAGACGAAAAAGCACCGTATAATGCGCTGATACTTGATACGTATCTAGTCCATTTCCTCGCCCCTTCGTTTCTGTGGGCCCTACCTATATTCGTTCAATGACCGGTCATTATTTGGAATCCAAATTAATTATTAATAAACAAATTAACCAAAACCAATTAATAATATTCCAATCACAGAACAGAAGAAAAAAGTGCATAAATTCCGAAAACGCACCAACACCACAACAACTCCTTTTCGTTCTTCAATTCACAGATTCGTTTTCTCTTCTTCGCGTTATTCGTTGCAAAATCGAAGGAGGATCTGTCTCGCGTTTTCCCTAGGTAAATCGTATCTACGATCGGTTTTTCAGTTCGTGATTTCCGTTTTGATTTTTGGTTGATTTTATGGATTTCGATCTGTTTTTTTTTTTGGTTAGGTTTACGCTATGGCTTCGAAGCGGATCTTGAAAGAACTCAAGGATTTGCAGAAGGATCCTCCAACTTCATGCAGTGCTGGTATTTTTTTTTAAAACTTTCTCACGGTGTTTTGATTGATGTTATTGTTTATTTATTTTTTTCTTTTTTTTTTGTTTGAAATGAAATATTTGGTGCTTGTTTGTTCTTACTGGCTTCAATTTTAAGCTTGGTTCTGGTGTGTTTATAGTTTGGAATTTGTTGATAAATTACATATTGTAACAGTTTTAAATAATAAGCTGCCGTCGCGATTTCGGTGGGTACAGGTGATGAGATACTATCGTTGCAGTGTGAGTTATCTACAATCTCAAAGAACAATATAACCACCAATTATTGTTTTGTCATGGCCGTTTTTGCATATTTTAAAACCTTAATTGTAACTGCATGTTGAGAATTTTATGTTTTTCTCTTTTTTTGTTTGTTTGAGATCTATTGTTTTTAATTGGTGGTTGTATTGTTCTTTGAGATTGGTTTTACATTCATTTGTGGATTAGGGTTATGATAGTGTTTGTTTGTTTCCATGCTGGTTGAGATTATAGGATTTCATGATGTTATTGCTGAAGATGGTGTCTATGCTGGCTTTTGGATTAATATTCATCTTTTTTTTACCTGATCATGCTATTGCTTAGATTATGCATCTGTTGGTGCTTCTGTGTGTTCTGTGACTAGATTTTGCAGAAAGGGAAATTGTATTTGCCGTAGTTTTGGGTACTCTGGTTAATGTTGTAAGTTTGCGTATTTTATCTGGACAGTGGTTTGGTCATTACCTGAATCTAGAAAATATTTGATATGTTAAGTGTTGGAATTGGATATTCTTAAATTCATTTTTTATTTTGGATTTAGCAACTAGTTGTGGCAAATCAGCAAAGCAACTGTGTGGCGTGTTTTTGTTTAAGTGGCCTGGTAGGATTTATTGGACAAGTTACTGAAGAACACTTACTTTCTAAGCCGTTAATCATATGATTTTAGTCATGGAAAATAGGATGATATAGTTTCATAACATTGTTTCAAACACGGAATTTCACCTTTCTATTTCTCAATGGATGTCAACATATCAGTTGACTTGATGGCAAGAATTTCGAATTGAGACATGGCTTTGCTGAATTCAGTCAGCCACCTCTAACTCCAGATGGTATTGTATGTTTTCCATGGCTGATCATGGTGGTCATCATTTGGTATGGTGCCTGCAGTTGACATGGCAAAATTAGTGAGTAAAAGCAGAAGTAAAAGGGGGTTGGCACTTATAGGGAAAAACATAAGTCCCACCTTGGTTAAAGCTAGAGCTTAATAAAAGTTTATATACAGTGACTGACACCCCTCACGTTACAAGTCGGATTTGTAAGGATGAGTTAGGCCAAACTCTAACAATCATTGAATAGACCAAAGCATTCAAGGCTTAGTGGATCAGAGGAAGATGGAGGAACGGGCAATGAAGGTGGTATCAGGAACATGGATATCATTGATTTAGCCATATGATCGAAAGGATTTGTTTTGGTATCCTAGGAAACCACCCGTGTTAGGTTCATTGGAAGTTGGTTTTTTTTATTTTTTTTGCATTTTAGTGAGACGTTTTTATGGGAAGAAGACAGGGAGTGGGTGTTTACTTGCCCGATTGTGAGTTCAGAACAAATGACGGGGTGCACAAGAAAAACAAAACCCAATGGTTCTTGAGAGATGGTTTGATTGGAATTTGAGAAGATGAGAGAACGAGAAAAGAAGAGCGACAATGTTTTGGATATATTGATAGATAACGTGGACCCAAATATCTAATTGTGCAGAAAACTGGATAAACTGTGTTATGGTTGAGGAGGGTAGATATGAGGATGATCAAAATTTGATACTAAATTATACATATTCTTTTAACTCGGTTTTAATTTGGTTATAGATTGGGCCAATGTAACCATTTAGTTTGAACATGCCTAATTGTCAATGTATCAATTGACCTGTTGGGTAACGGGACATTTTGTAGCACTCTGTAACTTTAGATACACTGTTTGTGCTGGCACTCTTAAAAAAATGTGCTTGTATCTTATTTTGATTTTGTTTCAAAACATTGCAGGTCCTGTTGCTGAAGATATGTTTCATTGGCAAGCAACAATTATGGGTCCTCCAGACAGTCCTTATTCCGGAGGTGTTTTCCTTGTCACTATCCATTTCCCTCCAGATTATCCTTTTAAGCCACCCAAGGTATGTATGCCTATCTCTTGTCTGTTTCTGTTTTGTCAATCATAGCTGCTGTTAGTTCTTAAAACTTATTCTGTTGAACGCAGCCTAGCATATTCCCTTATTTTGATGGATTGCTTCTATGTCATTTGAAAATCCATTTATTTACAATTATCAAGATTTTAGGCATGCTCAATTTCTTTTCTAGAAAGGGTGAACGAAGGTCACAAGTGTGAAGTTCTGTTGTAATTTTTTGTTAGGACTTGGTATATTCATACTATATGTTTAAAAACATATCTATTTAGTATTGCAGTCATGTACATAATTTCGTCTGATCTCTTTTTGCATGGTGATCTTTTAGGTTGCATTCAGGACAAAGGTATTTCACCCAAACATCAATAGCAACGGAAGCATTTGCCTTGATATACTAAAGGAGCAGTGGAGCCCCGCTCTTACCATTTCCAAGGTTTGTTTATTGATTTGTCTTCCTATTCTTCATTGCAATACATTTCTGAACTAAGTGATTGTTTCTTAAACTTGGTGACAACCAAAATTTACTGAATTAGGGATTCATCACAATGTTATGGTTATGCAGTTACATCGAATCATTATCCATATGTTCATTATTTCTCTTGCATATATAGGTGTTGCTCTCTATCTGCTCCTTGTTGACTGACCCAAATCCTGATGATCCTCTGGTTCCTGAAATCGCCCACATGTACAAGACAGACAAAAACAAGTACGAGTCAACTGCAAGAAGCTGGACCCAGAAATATGCTATGGGTTAATATGGTATTTGTGAGAGAGATCAATTTTAATTCAAGTGTCTAGGCCTAATAGCCGTTGTATGAAAAATTGTTGACTTCCATTAAGGTCCCTTCATTTGAGAATGAAATGGGGGTGAATTTGTTATGTTGTTTGTATTGTGCAAAAGGAAAATGCTACATCGAGAACAAGAAAATGTAGCCCAATTAAAAGTTTGTTCAATGTGTTATAACCTATGTGTTAATAGTTTCATGTTGTACTTAGAGTTGTTTGGCTTGTTTTATTATCAGCTATATTTATTTTAGAATTCACAATTTTTGCTTTCAAAGGAAAATAATGTTGCTAGAGTTAATGGATGATAAGATTTGGAATTGAAATGCAAATTTTTTGAAACAAAAGTGACTAGAGTTTCTCATCTCCCATATTCTCACTGAGCCCCAAGACTGTGTTAGTGTTGAAGAAGATTAAAATTTTAAAATTTTTTGATCAAATTTATATATTAGGGAATTTCTTATCCCATTTGGTGAAAATTTGAAAATGTCTTTAAAATTTTGAGATTCATTTTTGGACGTATATATTTCTCTTAAAATTGAATGCAAATGAATGAGTTATCTATTTTATATTTAACTTTGGAAATATATGTTCTGAAAAAAAGTGTTTTTGAAAATATATTTGTAAATTGCCTTGTGACCTGATGTGTATTTAAAAAAAGGATATAACATAGAGTGAATTCAAATAGGCATACTTAGTAGTCATACATTGTAAATACCAATAATATTCCTATTAATCTAAAAATCTAAAAATACAGTTAAGAGTTTATAATTTTTTTTTGAAACTATAAAAACAGAATAAATTAAATAAAATTATTGATTTTTTATGATGAAATGGTATAAGAAAAATTTCAATTCAGAGTTAATTTTTCAAAAAATCGAGCTTTGTATGCTAGGTCGCGTAAAGGCTAGAAACGCAAGGATCATAATGGGAGTATACAATTTCTATGACTCTAATATTAGTTATAATCGACATACTTTTTGGAAACTGCATCAATTTTAATGAAAAACGTGTAGCAAATAGGACCAGGGATACTTTTGAAGATGCATCTCCGGATGCACCCATTTTTCACAAATTGAATGCCAACGAGTGAGATATTCCAATTATACCTTATTTTTGTTTGGAGTTGTATCTCTGAATATTTTCTTGATATATTTCGGAGATGCATATCCGAAAGTAACCCAGATACTTCAAACCAAAAACATAGACATTATGAGAAAAGTCTAGTAATAAAATCAATTTTGATATTAAATTAAAACACTCAACATTACATAGATAATTGTTAACATAAATTTAACACTACATATTATTATAAACGAGTAGTTCAGGACGTTACAACATATTGATAATATCGTCGATAGATCTTTCAATCTTTGCATCCATTTCAATCAGATCCTTTGATGTGTAACGGTAAAATGTACTCCACATGACCTATAAATATTCATCCGTCTTCAGTTCAAAGTTAGTGAACTGTATCTTCTATTTGTTGTTAAGCGATGGTGAGCGATACTCCAACTTGATAACTCTTCGATTTTTTGGATATCGTTGAAGAGTATTCAATTTGGATATTAGATCGACGAGAGGTGTGTCATAAGTGACCCTAAATTGAATCAACAGTTTTATGCCATTGAAAGACACAAATGCAAGGTGGGGATATGCATTCATTCTATGGTTGTTGTGTATTTTGTAGAAAATATGGGTTGAGAGACACCCTATTTATACAAGTATTGGTGTCACTTTGAACCTTAGAAATCTTATCATGTCATCAAGTCACTTTTCAAAGATGCATCTCTGGTTAAACCCTGGTTTTTTTATGAAAAAAAGTGTTTACAGATATGCATATCTGAAAAGTTTCATGATGATTTTTTAATAAGTATGAGGTTTATTCGGATGTGCATATTCGAAATTACCTTGAACCAAAATTAAACTAGAATATGTGTATAAAAAAAAACAAATCATACAATTTGTAAACTGAAACAGTGGACATTAACACCATCATTTCTGATTATATATTACTTATGTATTAAATCGTAACAAGATTATATCATTTACGGTAATAAATTTTAAAAAAAGTGTATCGATTACAATCTAAAATGTGTTTTATATAATGAATCTGGAAGTAAGAGAACTCGAAGTGTTTGATGAAATGTCTAAGCTAATTCTAAAGACACCTTTGTTAACCAACAAGACATTCAAGGTTATGATCAATATGCTAGATCTTCATTAACTTGCATCATACATAACTGAAGATAGAAATTGGGTTTGACATCAAGGATTTGGCCATCTCAAATATTGAAGTGCCAAAGCAGTTATATGAGGAATGTTGCATAGCCAAGTAAACCAGGAATCCATTCAAACATGACTTGCCAATGAAGTCACAACAGATGCTTGAGATTATGCATTCAGATGTGCATGATCCATTTGAAGTAAAATCACTAGGAGATAATTTCTAATTTTGACCTTCATAGATGAATTCACTAGGAATTTGTGGATTTACTTGTTGGAAAAAAAATAAAAGTTTTCACCAATTTCAAAAAATTTAAATTGCTGGTTGAAACGCAAGCTGGAAACACCACCAAGAGGTTGAGAATTGATGGTGGTGGTGAGTATATCTTAGCCGAGTTTGCTTAATTTTATGAGAAGGAACAAAATGAGCATGAAGTGATAATACCATACACACCTCAGCACAATAACATTGCTGAAAGGAAGAATAGAAACATATTGAATATGGCTAGAAGCATGCTAAAAGAAAATTAGAGGCTAAACACTTATGGGGTGAAACCACTTCAACTATAGTGTACATTATGAATAGATGTCCAACAAAGAAGTTGAACAACAAAACACCTTATGAAGCCTGACCAGAATTGAAGCCAAGTGCGGGTCATCTCAAAATTTCAGACTCACTATGCTCTAGACATGTTCCTGAACAACTTAGAAAAAAGTTGAATGATAGAAGTCAAGTTGTGGTTATGGTTGGATATCATTTAACATGTGCCTAAAAATTGTTCTTACCAACTGAGAACAAGGTTGTGATCAGCAGAGTTGTGGTGTATGATAAAAACAAAGGTTGAAATTGGCTGAAAATTCTAGAAAATCTGCTGTAAGAAGGTGAAAGTTCAAGCCACATAAAAAATAATCTACATGATGAGGAACATTTTGCACCAATTGAGCCTGCACAAACTCAAGGTGTGAGAAGACCAAGTAGAACTAGAGCTCTATTAGTCAGGCTAAATGACTATGAAAGACTTTCTGATAAAGCAATCAGGAAAAATGGTGTGGTAATTGAAGAAGTAATGATAGTTGAGTAAAAAACAGTCAATCATGTGTAAGCCATGCAAAAGGAAAATTGAAAAGGTGCAATGGTTGAGGAACTGAAGGCCACTGAGAAAAAACCAAACATGAGAGCTGGTTGAGAACTAGCGTGTATGTAAATACCACCCCTAATTGTAATTGAAATACACAACATTCAATAAACTTTTTTTCTCTCCATCACTCTTTAATTTTTTCTTAATTTATTATCATTTTTCAAGTAACTTATTATATATGTTACCTAACAATATTTAACACATCAAAGCGTCATTTTGTATTTTTAAAGATCTTTTTTATCTATCTCTTCTCATACTCTCTTCGTTGCAACTTTCATCGATCAACATTTGGTTTCCCTAATGTGTAATACATCTTGCTTTTGTATTTTAGAAATCAGTTGCTTCAACATGATTCTTATGTTTTATGATCGTGTTCCATAAATTAGTTCATGACAAATACATTTTGACTATATATGTCTGTTAGTTTATGGAATCTGCTTTCCAAAGATAAAAGTGCATATTTTTGAAAGAAAAGATAGACAATGAATCCATGCTTATAGAGTATATATTTACTACAATGACAACTCATACTTTCAAATGTATTCCTTCACAAAATAGTTTAAAATTTACAAAATTAAAATTTAATCTCTAAAAATGTCAAAAATATTTTTTTAACAAAGGTATGAGGTCAAAACAATTACCGCAAGAATGAATGAAAAAGAAACTTTTTAATTTTGATATATAAGAATAGATATGTATAAATTTATGTAAATTATAGAAGGATCAAACTTATGTGTAATACCATATAGTTATGAAAAATAGTGATTAAATAAACTAAGAAACTAGACTAAAATGACTAATAATAAATTTAATTGTATACCTAAGAAATCGATCATGGAAGCGATCTACTTACTACGACGTGTGACGGAGTCATATAAGATGGATCAACAAGATTTACACTTAATTTTCATTGATTTGAAGAAGGTGTGTGATAGATTGCCTTAAGATATTTTGTGAAAACTTAGAAAATTAATGAATTAGGATTACCTATATTCAAGCCTCTCATGATATGTATGAGGGAGTCTCGACAAGTGTTAAGACATAAAGTGAAGAGACATACTATTTTCCATAAAAATTAGATTGCACCAATTTTTTATGAGAGGGTCTCAATAGTAGGAAAAAAAAATACACACACAAATATTTTAACATATTTTTTAAAGTTTTTTTTAGAGAAAAAACATTTTTTCGTCAATAATTGATTATGACGGTTACAAAATTAATTATGATCATTAACAAGCTCCGTAACAAATTATGACAATTGCATAACAGATTATAATTATAAACACACTTCATAATCAATTATGATCGTTCCATAATCGATTATAATTATAAAAATACTTCCATATTGTTATATAATCAATTATGGTTGTAAACATGCACCATACTCGATTATGGCCTTAGACAAATTAATTACTCTACATGTTTAATTTGAATATTCAATTACGAATCATGTACAAATCAATTATGATGCATATCAGGTAAAAAACAATAAAAATAACAATTAAGTCTTATTCCACTAAGTGAGGTCAATTACATGAACCAACTTTTGTTATAATTTTCTATTCAGAATCATGATTCTATCCAAATTGTTATCTCGAGATCTTTCT